CCACACTCAGTTGGGTCACCTTTCTTTGGAATGGGAACAAATATAGATCTCTTCCAGTCAGTTGGCCAAGTGGTTGTTCTCCGGATTTCTTGGCATGAGGGTTTATGATTTAAAAAAAAAAAAGGATAAAATACAACATGAATTCATACCCATGCTTTCAATCCCAATTCAGTACTCTAAGGTTTTGATTTACTCGTTGTACTTTTAAACAGTGTTTTCTGTGCCTCTCACTTCGCAAAGGAAAAGCACCCTAGAAATTTTTTGTGGGTTAAGTTAATCTGTCCTAGGAGACTTGCCAAGGCTAGAAAAGCTGTGTGAAAGAGCAGTAATCCCTTACTCTTAATGATTTACACTGAAACAGTGTCAGAGCTGGAAGGAACTTGAAATAACACAGGGTTCAAGGATTCTATACCTGGATGTGCATCAGAATTAGTTAGGAAGCATTCAAACTTCAAGTTTCTTCACTCAAGATCTTCGATATCAGAATCTCTAGGGTTGAACTTACATGGAAATTTTTATAAAGGATGTTTTTAAGGAAAGGGATGTTTAAATGTTTTCAGAATCTGACTAGAGCATTTATGGGGACATTAGTCTTTCCTAACAACACCCTAGCATTTAGGTGGATTAAAATATTTGGCTGAGACTATTACAGCTGAGGTAGTTCCTAGGCCCTGTACTTCAGTGCTGCACTGCTCAGACATCCAAACAAGTCCACTGCTGTTGAGTTGATTCCAACACACCACACCCTTACAGGACAGAGCAGAACTTTCCAATTTACCAATGAGATGGTAAATCTTTATGGGAACAAATTGCCATATTTTTCTCCAAAAGAGCGGCTTGTGGGTTTGAACTGCCAACCTTTGGGTTAGAAGCATGACTTTTAGCCAATGAACTCCTATTACTCCCAGCAGGAGTCTCATAATACTTAAAATATTTTGTTACTAATTTGTACCTGGTAGATTTTCATCACATTGCTATACCTTAAAGTTTATATAGATTACACTTGTATAGGATTTTTATATTGAGACTTATTGTCCTATTCTGGAACATGGCTCAGTTAAACAACATGCAAAGAATAAGTTAAGTACAGTTTAGAATTACATCTTGACCTCCCAGAGCTGGGAAAGGGAGACAAACTAGAAAGCATGCTAGAAGCAAGATTCCTTTCAAAGAATCAGCATTTAGTCAGTTCCAACTCCTTGTAGCTCTATAGCAGAAATGTACCCACAGAGCCAGAAAATGTGAGGTTTTCTGAGGTGCTGACTAGGTGCAACCAGGACAGGATTCTAGCTTTTGGAAGGGAAGCTGATAAAAGCAAGAGAGACCCTCAAGAGATAAAAAAATAAAACAAACAAAAATACAACAACAAAACACAACATTGTTGCTTCCCTTAGAGAGTTTACGATCTCATAGAGAGACAGAGCAATTTTTGAAAGAAGAACTGCACTCTTAGATGGGGACCTGAAGCAGGCATTGTCATCAGGGTCCAAGCCTTGGCAGAAAGAAAGCCTGCGATCAGGAAGGAGGAAAGTGGACCTGGAAGAGCAGCCAGCGTGCCTCCCATTAGCTTCGTCCAGTAAATGTAGCCATTTTGACCACCACCCACTGGGCAGTGGAAAGGTATTTCCCAGCTCTTTTTGCTGAGAATTACAAAGGTGGAGCTGTCATCATGCATGCAGGAATCAAATAGGACAGCAGAGTAATCTCTAGAGTAAATACTGACCCTGAAACCATGTGTGAAGTCAGATAAAAAACAGGCTAGACTTGGTGTGGAGTGCAGGAATGCTGGGATATATTCCACCCATCAAATCATGGACTCCCCAGGGAGTAGTGATAAAAACCCAGAAGAACTTAGTGTTGTATAGTTATGGAGTCAAGGTCAAGTTCTTTGTGCTGGCACTTAGGGAGGGGTTCTTTGAAGAGAAGCCCAAGCAAGGACGTCAGGTCAGCTGAGTTTCGGTGCTGCCCATCCCAGGTCCTACAAAGTTACCTTCTCTGTGTCTCAGCCTCCCCGTCTGTAAATTATGTCTCCAGAGTGTAGATTTACAGAGTTATTGCGATGATTAAATCATGTACACGAAGTACTTTGTCAAAGGCCAGTCCACGATGCGTATTCTAGTATTGTCAGCTGTGTTCACTACTTTTGTCGTCATGTTCAGTAATTGGTATTGCTGTCTCTTTTCCCATCAGTACTGTATCTGGACGGATGGACTAAATGCGCTGCTGGGGAAAGACATGATGAGTGACCTGACTCGGAATGACTTGGACACCTTGCTCAGCATGGAAATCAAGCTCCGCCTCCTGGACTTGGAAAACATTCAGATCCCTGATGCCCCGCCACCCATCCCCAAGGAGCCCAGCAACTATGACTTCGTCTATGACTGTAACTGACATAGCCAGGCCAGAAAAGGCCTTTCCCAAACTGGAAAAATCTAACTAACGAGAGGAATGAAGACATGTCCATTCCTTGGAATCCTCTTTGGGGAAAAGGAAGCTGTGGGTTAACAGGTTCTTTGGCCGCACCTCTAGCCCCTACAATTTTCTGCCTCTACTTGGAGCCTTGCTCCCTTCCCTGGGTCTATTTCTAAACACCATTGCTTTAGTTCACTCCCCAAGGCTGCAGTCCACAGGTAGGGAATGGGCAAACCCCACCACCAGTACAAGAGCCGAGGGGCCCTCCTATCTCATTCCTGGCAGGCAGGTATGTCCTCCCTCCCTAGAGCAGGAGAACCAGGAGGAACACATTGCCAGATGCAGACCTGCCAGACGCCAGACCCGGCATGTGCTCTAAGACCTGCCCTGGGAGAAACAGCCTCGCTACTTGATGAGAAGACCAAACACCATCTCCTCTTTCCCCTTCTCTCTATAGTCTTTCACACAGCCAGTTACATTTGAATTAAGATCTGCTTTCAAATCCCATATCACCTCCCTCCCTCCTTCCCTTTGTCTTGCCTTGTTTCTCTTGGGCTCTATGTAGTCTGTAATGTTCATCAGTCTTTGTCAACATTGGACCTGCAAACACATAGCCCACAGTTTCCACCTCCCGTAGTCAGCACTGTGACCGTGGCCAACGCTTCCTCAATATCTAGTCTTAGGTTTCCTCTCCCTGTCCTAGCCCAGACCTGCCTTTGGGATTCTGCACATCCTTCCACTCCCTTCGTTGAAAGCACAAATGGGAAATGTGGTAGTCATGCTTCTCTAATATACTAAACTTGGACACCACTACGACCGGCTGTTGTTACCAAGGGTTTGGCGTTACCTTCTCCTGAGGGGTCCACTGGATGGGCAAGCTGTCAGACATCCACGTTTACATCATTGTAATTATTACAGGTATTTACAATCTGCGAGGGTTGGGAGTTGTATTTTTTTTTTCCTTTTTGCTTTGTATTTGTACAAAAGAGTCTAACATTTTTTTGCCAAATAGATATATATTTAATGAAAAGAGACATAAATGTGCATACTTGCCGGGATTTTTTTTTTTATTATTTTAATCCCAAATGGCTCCCCTAGATTAACATTCCCTTAAACATGCTGTGGAATAAAACGAGTTGTGATGAGTTGGGAGCATGTGTTTTGATTTGGTGACAGATTCTTGCTGTTGGATGTGCTGACTCTTGCTAGCTCTTTGTATCCTAGAAAGAAGCATGGTCGGGCCCAGGGCCATCCTCACAACGATGCATTGTGTTTTGAGTCCATTGCTGCAGGCACTGTGTTCATGGAGAGGTTCCCTCTTTCCTGCAGATTCTTCACTTTACTAAACATGATTATTTTTATAGCAATTTGATCTTTCCTGATTAATGAGAGTAAGCAAGAGAATGCCTCTCCAACCTCCACTTCTAAGGAGCTTTCTGGCAGCAGCTTCTCCAGGAGTGACTTGCTGACCCTTCTGCCAGTCCATCTTCTATTTCGTATTTTTCCACCAGCCCCCAAACTGAAATGCACCACTTCTCCTTTGATCTTCTTTGTTCATTGTTTAGCTCTCCCTTGAGAATGAGGCAGCTGAAAAGACCAGGCTGGGGTAAGGTGATGTGAAAGTGACACCTTAGTTACCTAAGTAAATCTTTCCCTTTTTCTTTGCTCTTTCTTTATTCATCAGCATCACTTGGATACTTATTAGAAATGTACATGTTACGTTGTCTGAGACTGAATCAGGTGAGCCCTGTGCACATTGCTGCCTACGAAGTAATGGACTGGGATGCTCTTGACCACTGGCAGGTCATGGTGGGCTCAGGGCATCAAGAAATGATGCCACCTCTCAGAAGACCATCATGAATCAAGAAAATCATTCTATGAAAATATGGAGTATACATTTCTATGCTTACCTTCTAACCATGACTTTCTCATTTATTTTGTGCTTCTTTGCTCTTACATAATTCACAGAGCTGGTCAAATGAAATACATCACAACTTCAGGGAGTGCACTTAGCAATGAAAAAAAAAAAAAAAGGAATGCAAACCCACAGGCCTGAAATAAAGTAAGCCAGAGTAAAATGAGTCTAATTATAGGTTAATCAAATATGGGCCAGAGCCCAGTAATGGATTCTTTTTTTAGGTCACTCCAGTGGAGGCATCATCTGGATCATCAACTCCAAGGGCTGGAACTGATGTCGGAAAGGTGTAGGCGTGCGGAATCAGGCATGGGAGGCACAAACCTCTTTCCACACAGCGCACGTTTTAGATGCATTCAAATCACGAGTCCCTGCCATCATCAAGATATGCAATTACAGATTTGCCTGGGTTCAGATGACATGGTGCACAGCTCGTGTATAAACTTCAGGGGAAAATGAATTTTTTTATAATCCATAGTAACTCACAGGTCATTATTGTTGCCATTGAAGCACTCACACCCAGGTATCAAGGTCATTTGTTTGTTGTTAAGTGTCATCACATCGACTACAACTCAAAGCGACCCCTCTGAAAAACGGATCTGAACCTTGTCCAGATCAGATGCGGCACCATCCTCAGAATCTCTTATCTGCTCAAGCCGCCGTTACTGTCCCTGCATCAGTCCATCTTGTTGAGGGTCTTCCTTTAGATTAAGCCTCTCAGCACTGTTGTTATTAAGCCAGTTGAGCAGTAAGCATAGGAAATATTAACACTTTTGTCCCAAGTTTCCTGTTGAATTATATATTGATGTAGCAATTACAAGATAACACAATGTTGGGTAAAAGAAAGCAGTCATACAATTTTATGTCAGAGTTGTCTATCTTAATCATGAAAGTGTGAATGCTCTGAATTTGAGTGATTGTTCAATTGTCCTGTGACACTGTGACATCCTCTGTCACTTGGTCCACTGTGGTTGTTGTGTGCCGTTGAGTCAACTACAACTCATGGACCCTGTTGAACAATGGTGCTAAGCCCTGCCCTATCCTGAGGCTACGTAACCATCTCTGACAACCCTGCCCTTACTGCCACCATCACTGTGTCAGTCATCTCAACCAGAGTTTTCCTCTTCTGCACTGACCCTCCACCCTTCCAAGCAAAAGGTCTTTCTCCAGGGACTTGTCCCTCCTGGCTATATGCCCAAAGTATAAGAAACAAAGATTCAAAAATCTTTGCTCCAAAGAGCAAACTGATTTCACTCTTTCCAAAACAGACATTTGTTCTTTTGGCAGTCCGTGGTATGTTCAATACTTTTCTCCAGTACCACAACCATTGGACAGAAACTTTTACTCAATAAGTACTGTTAAAGAGAGAGCACCTTCCTACCACTTACTAGACCTTCTGACTGGAAAGATGCTAAAAGTGTGACATGCTGTTAGATGCCATCAAGTTGATTCTGACTCATAGTGACCCTCCATGTTAACAGAAACTGTGCTCCATCAAGTTTTCCTGGATGTAACATTCATTAATAGAATCAGATCGCCATAAAACGTACAAACAAAAAGTCCCAAGCCTTTTATTCCGTCATACCACTGAGTGAGTTTCAAATAATAGCTTCTAGGTTCTAAGTGTAAAGCTATTTGCAGCACTTAGAGACAGTCTACTATATCGTACCTCTTTGTGGCAATACTGGTTAGGACTGATGCTCAATGGTGGTTTTTCTAAGTAGAAATACCATTAGCTCGGGTTCAATTCTATTGCTCAAAACTTCCAAGACTGGGAAGGTAGGCCAAATTGAAGGGAGAGGTTAAGTAGGAAGCCTGACTTAGAAAATAAGTTTCAGCTGCAATTTTCAATTTAATTTTACTTGAAATCTGATAATTTGATTTACATCTGCTAATAAGTCCTATCATATTTTTCAGTTATGAACCCATAGGAGAAGGACAATTAATTGGCATTCTAAAACGCCTTCCTTCTCCCACAAGGGTAGAGAAAACTAATAGTAATTGCAAAAGAAGAAATGAAAGACTGAATGCTTGTTGAGTCTACATTTCAAGTCCATTCTAATTAGCTCCTAAAGCATTTCCTGCCTACTTGCACTACTAATGAACCAGGCAACTTCAGTTAGTATCCACAATGACATACATCCCTTTCATTCATTCTGCTTTAGTTATTAAAATAGTTTACACTTAACAAATCGCCATTTTTTTAAAAGTGCTAAGAATTTGATGATATAAATGCAAAAATAGTAAGATAAAATCCTGTCAGAATTGGAGAAATTGCAGCCAAATCATTTAGTCACATTTAAAACCAAATAATTGCAGCATTATGTGGATATGATGCATAAATTGTGATCAAAACTTTCAAAGCTGGGGAAGAGCTAAGACTTGATTTGGGTCTTAAAAGAGAGAAGGACTTCAGCATGCAAGAGATAAGCATTCCAGGTAGTGGGCATGAGGGGAAGGGTGGTGAAGGCCGGGTGAAGCAACAGAGCATAAAAATTACTTTGAATTGTTGCCATCACAGTAGTTCCAATTCATAGAGGCCTTATGTGGGTGAAAATAGAACTATGATCTATATAGGATTTTCAGTGGTTCATTCTTTAAAAGTAGACTTTTCTCATGCCAAACCTCTACTTAGATCAGAAAATAGTCATCCAAACAAAGCAAGGAAATACTGCATGGTTCAAAATCAAGAATGGTGTGCATCAGGATCTGTCTGTCTGTCTGTCTGTCTGTCTGTCTCTCTCTCCCCCCTCTCGCCTCCCCTCGCCTTGCCTCGCCTTTCCCCTTCCCAACCCTGACCTCTCCCTTACCCTCCCTCCCCTCCCTTCCTCTCCCCTCCCCCTCCTCTCCTCTCTCTCCTCTCTGTCTTGCTGAGTACTGTTGTGTTGAAACCAGGCTCATAACTGACCCTCCAGTGGATTTTTCAAAGGCAATAAATCATATAGGAGAAGA